CTTTCTCTTTTTAGGGTGGTTATTGTGTAGGGATGTGTCAAAAAAATTAAATATTCCCTTATCAACTCAGCCTGGTGTGGTTTGATAGATGAGTAAGTTGGATTGGACTGGTTAGTGATAAAATTGACTGATCAGTTAGGCTGCTGGTTAAAATTCATTAATTCTATATAGTTTTTGTACAAATCCCTACTATATTTTTATTTCAAATCAGGAAGACTCAAAGGAAATTGAAATGGTAGCAACCTAATTAATCAGTCAATTTTATCATCCAACCAGTTCAACCCAACTCACTCACCTTATTAAATACACAAGCTAAGTTGGTACGGAATATCTAATTTTTGACACACCCCTACACAGCACCATTCCACACACACAAATATAATAATAATAATAATTTGAACATTCAAGCTTCGATTTGTCGAGACGCATAGCACTGCTCCATATCAATATCATTTGAAAAAATTACAAATTAGTGCACATTTTCAAAAAAATAATTTTAGATTTATAAAAAGAATCTATGATTATTAATATTTATAAAATTTGTCACTTATTTGTAATTATATATAATATATATATATATTATTTATTTATTTTTGAGTTAATTATCTAAAAATCTTACTTACAAATGTTATGATAGCTCAGATCCTATTTAAGAATTTTTGAACCAATAAGTCCTATTTAGTAAAACTGAGAATGTTATCAGTTTTTTTTTTTTTCTAATTTTAAAATTACGAATATTATCAATTTTACATAATAATGTTCTAAACAATTGTTTCGCTAACTGATTAAAAAAACAAAGTATGAGATTAAACATTTTTGTCTTTCCACTTCTTGGTTTGATTCAACTATTTAATACAATGAAGAATATTAACAGTTTTTCTTTTTTTTCTAATTTTAAAACTGAGATTATTATCAGTTTTTCATTTTTAAAGTTTTTTTTTCCTTCTAGTTTTGCACATTAATGTTTTATCATCATGCTCCTTTATAGACACAAAATTTTCAAATTTGCACAAAAAACTAATTTAGTTTTTCAATTTTTTCAAAAAAAATATATATATATCAATGTGTTTTGGTTCAATCTTTTGAATTAAGTTTTCTGAAAATTGTGTTTTTTATTTTCATATTTTTTTTGTTTTTAATGAACATTTTTAAAATTTTAAGAAATTTTTTTACTTTTTTAGATACACCTTATTTAGATGTATCTAAATAGTGAAATATTTGTAAAAAATATTTTAAAAAATTAATAAATACACAAAAATACAAAAAATGTACTGAATTTTCATATTTATTTATTTTTGGTATTTGGTGTATTTTTTAATATTTTTTCACAAATATTTTTTTTAAGCGTATTTATGTTAGGTGTGTCTAAATATTAAAAAAAATGCTTAAAATATTTTAAAAAATTCATGAAAACATTAAAATACAAAAAATAAAAAAACTAAATTTTCTGAAATCAATTTTCTGGAAACCAGAACTAAACAAGCTTAGTTTTTTTTTTTATTTTTTTTTACTCTTAAGATATTTGTAACCATATTTGGATATAAGTAATGTAATTAGTAATGAAAAGTCTAATATAAAGTTTTGTTATAAAAATCAATAATAATAGATAGTATAAAAATGTGAAGTACAATGATTACTTTTATAGTTAATCAACATAAACTGAATGAAACAATATGAATGGTATATAGTTAAGAGAGGATATGAATTTACATACGTACATATTAAAAATTTTAATGAGCGCGAGTATAAACAATGACCTTTGAGAGAATAAAAATTATAAATATTCCTCTTATAAGAATCTTAATAGAGAGTTTTATATTTTCAATAAATTATTCAACTTTGACTCATTGAGATATAAATAAATTATAATAACTCAGCTAATATGTTGTTTGTGTTGGCATTGAGTACAATGTATACACACATATTAAATGATGTAATGTATGTGCTCTGTGTGGGAGTTTCTCTCTAGTCGCATGACCTGCTATGTAATGTCAGTATTGCAAGTATTGCCCAATCATAGATAGCCTGATACTTAAATCTTATTCTTCATTTATATAATTCTCACGCAAGAACATACAACCATCACTGTTTGAGTTATGTTATATATTCATGCCTACTAATATAGATTATATAATATTCAAAAATCTGTATACCTAGTAATTTGTTGAGCTCATCATATAATAAATATAGAATTAATGATATTATCTATATCACAACTCTACCGTATATTTAAACTTTAATTATATATAAGGTAATCACAATATATATAATGTTTCTTGTAGTGAATATATCAGGAAGTATGGTGCCATACACTCACGGTCCTTAATATTCTCTACCTTCGTCAAACATAAAATGTATAGTCAATAGAATATGGAAATTAATCATTGTAGATTGTGACTGATAGATTCTATTAACTATTATAAGAAACTATAATTACGTCTCATACACCACACAATATGAATGAACAAAATTCACAAATTTTGATAAATAAAAGATGCCACGAATACATATGTTAGAGTAGTGAGATTAATAAACGATACTCAAATCGGAGCCCAACTAGTATACACATTTGTGTAGATTCGATGCAAATACGAGAATTGTTCATTATTTTTCACTTCTCTGATTTATAATTTGTTCTATTAGGTAGGTTTATATCATGGGTGTAGCTAATTTTCTCTCATATTCACAATCTTTAATATCAAAAGAACATAAGGACACACTAGAAATTCCATCATCAGACCTTGTTTTTGTATAATCCTACCAGGTGCTATCCTTTTAGGAACTCTTGTTGAATAGTAATATCATGCACAAAAATTAAAGGATGATAGGAGATTTATCGAATAGACTATATGTTTAATCCAAATTTTGTAATTGTACAAAAAGGATTGTTATTCTTGTTGAAATATAATGTCGTTCGTTTTTTTTTTTTAAAACAAATATTTGAATTTCAAACAATATAAACTACTGATAATCTAATTATTCATAATTTTTTATATGAATATTTCTATCTAAACTCAATTATCCAAAAAAGTAAATAGTTTCAAATCACCGAAAATCGGTTTAAAATAGTTCGGCTTACCAAGCCTAAACGTCCTTCAAGTTGATGGATATTAAACTTGAGAAAAGCCAATAACTCTGAGAAAATTGCCATTAATAGTACACACTCATATAGATTTGATAACGCATCCCAAAATATTTGCACTCCAATATATTTTAGAATCTAACTCATATCGATCCAATACCTCATTAACTTTCAATTGTAACATACAAAAACATGAGTGAAATTATAGTACTGAGTATCTCAATTAATATTTTAATTATGTAATTCATACTAAATTCCTTATCTTTCCTTAATAAGATATTCACGTTGTGTATGGTATATATTTATACAATAAGTAGTGGACCCCACTCATTGCAATAATAAATATTGTTTTGGATCAAATCGTTCTTTAAGATATGAATTTGGGTCGTGATATTAGAGGATCCATGTGGATATAGAAGTAAAGTTAATACAATTTAATCTAGATTAAACTGTCTTATAATTATTATGACCGTCAGCCTTAACTAACAGCTACGAGTAGTTCCAAGGAAGAACTCTGTGTGCCAAAGGTTTATCAACCAATAATGGTTAAGGCTCTTTGAAACTCATCCATGATGTTAAAAGATTAGCCCTTGGTTATGCTGCTATAAAACCATAATACTCAAAAAAAATCATATTTTTATTTACCTCTTTCAACTTATAGTCATGAGTTTCGTTTAGTTATAAAATTTATGTCAACCTAAATGTAAATTCGATTGGAATATTATCCTCTATTATTTGGATTTGTTGACCAAACTTCTCCTCTACGCCACTGTCTGTTTGGAGCCAAAAGTTTGCTTTACAGCTTCTCCTAGCTTGCTAAAATGCAGCAATGTCTCGGATTTGAATCAACTATACTAGTTCATGTAGGCCCAGTTCTCTCGATTTATTGCCAGCGGTGTATTGCACAAGTATCAGTAAGTGTGTCCATCTTGTCCAGTAGAGATTATTATTGTAGTTTTCTTTTA